TTATCTGTCAATGTACAGCTTCTCGCCAAGGTCTGCCTGATCCTAGCATCGTTCCATCACTGTTTTGAAAATTTTTAGGTTGAACACCTCATGAAGATCAAGAGGACTGAATTTCGACCTCCGCCAAAAGTCGACTCTGCGGTTGTACGCATAGCTCCTAAAAACCCTCCGCCACCGATCAATTTCGATGTAAGGAGTTTGACCAGATGCTTTGATGCCGTGTTTATTAACGCAATTCCAGGAGTGGGAAGGAATGCTTCGATTGTGTTTCTTGAGAAAGAACAAAACTTTGCTTTCAATCTTCAAACAAAACAATGTAGCCGAGTTAATCGAAAAGAATTATCAGAAACTGTGCAGTCTGTTGAATAAGGTATGTTGGTTCTTCATATTCCTTCCTATCCTAAACCTACCATTCCATATTTCATGTGAGTGATGAATTTGCTTTTCTTCAGCCGTTTCCAAAAGACCTTGATATGAAGAAAATGATCGAAGACACGTTAACAGAAGCTGGATTCGCTGATAAGCGAGCAAGAAAAATGAGTATCGAACAGTTTCTTGCTCTTCTGCTTGCATTCAACAAGGCCGGTATCCATTTCCATTCATAGCAGTACAACTTTCTATGTCTCTTCCGATCAAAGTTGACTTGTTATTTAAATTTGTTCACATTTTATCAAAATTGACCTGAAGGAATAGACTATAGAGGGGAGCAAATAATCTCAACCTTATGTAGTAAGCTTCTACCTCTCTCAAATAGTTCGTAAGAAGCCTGCTTGATTCAAGATAAAACCTAATGCATAGGCGGTATGGTTGCACAATAAAAGTCAAAAATGTGAAGAACTGATTAGCACAAGTCAACTTGCGCTTCGTTCTTCACTTACATCTACTATATCCAAGTTTTACGAGCTACAAATGCGCTAGATGTATGTTAAAATCTAATCCACCCTGCATACGACCTCAAGTTTACAACTAACTTGAAATTGTATATTTGAGCAATTTTTTGATGTTGTTTTATTTTTTGTTATTGCCAAACATTGTTCATTCTTCTTGTTGATCGTTTCAAATTGTTGCTTTTATATACATATATGCAATAAACAAATCCTCTAGTCTGATCCTGAAGAATCATAGTCAACAAGTCCAGTTTTCGTTGTTATATCACAATCTTCCTTTTT